ATTTTAGACAAAGGGTACTTAAAGTGGATCCCCAGCCAAAACATTTTTGTAAGCTTTGGATACTTTGGGGGAAGGGTGAAAACATTTCCCACTTTTGTAGGTTTTAAATGCAATGGGGAAGGGTTAAAACTGCTCGTTTTCTGTAAGTATGGATACAGTGTGGAAGGGTTAAAAACTATGTTGTGTATTATCGTCATTTATTTCTTTATCAGGAAGCATTCTCTTCCTGTGCCTTTTACTTTTGTCACTGAGGAAGATGGGTAACATCTCTTCAACAGGATCACGAACACCAGTAAACCCCCCCTTTTTTGTAGAAGGGTTATACAGTAAATCCTTTGTTAGATGTTTACTGTTGCTTGTGTGCCACTGGGAATATTTATTTCACCTGATACCCCAATGACGGTGGTCACCAAGACTAAAAGTGGGACCCAGACAGCAGAAAAACAGCCTCATTCACACTGGCATGCCTGCATTTAGCTTCCTTTTTACCTGCCTTTAGATATTCCTGCTGAATAAACATAAACAGCCAGTCCGCTGCTCCATTGATCCAGGAGGATGTACCTGTACCTCCTCCCATGGCCGCCTGTGTGCGCATGCCCAGAAGCCGCTGCTCCAGCTGTCATTACACAGTGGAGTGCATCAGTTTCAGGCACACAGCCAGTCTGATTGGCTACCACAGTTAACATTGCCAAGCCCCCCTCTTACAAACAGAGGCAGGGGAAACTAAGGAAAATGATTAATTAATGAGTCGTTCATTCATTAGTTCCCGGTGAAAACAAGCACAAAATAGTGTGCTTGTTTTCACCAGGAACTAATGAATGAACGACTCTACAGTTTATATCAGCTCCATGCTCTCTCTGCTCCAGGTTGTGTATTAACTCTTTCAGGGTCAACGTTATGCCCATAGACATTACATTGAGCTTCTGATCAGGTCCGCCTAAAAAACTGACAGTCAGATCATGCGAAAGGGGACTAAGGCTCATCATGAGCTTCTCAACAATGCACTCTTCTTGTTTGACTCTACATAACAATCAATTCTATGGCCTGTACTTCTACCATTGTTTAATCTTCTAATTGATTGCATTGTATACCCAGTGTATGCCTTTATTATAAATAAAGAATATGCCAAAAAATACTAATGGAGAGCAAATAAAAAAATGTGCTTCTTATTCTTTTGCTGTTGTGTTAGTGCATGTATATATACCAAGGGAAAAGACCTGAGGATGTCTATACATGATAATGACTTTTAAGGACAAATATATCATTTTTACAATAGTTATAGGTAATCAATTCTCCCTTTCGGTCATTATCCTTTTGAAAAATAGGAACATATGATGACTGCCGCTGACCAAGTCCATGATCATCATACAACCATGTCTGTTATCTTTGGTTTTATTAAAGCGTACGTAAAGCCAAACCCTTGTGTATTATTTGTTTGTTGTCTGTTTACCATTGGGAAATATCCCTTTACTTTCTGTAGCAAAGATGCAACAGGAAGTTGATGGTTCTCCTAAAGTGAGGGGAATTACCCTCTTATATAGTTGTCTACCAGAACAGGTGGCCCCATTGGAAGACTCACCCCTTGTTCCAAGGAAAACTCTTTAATTTTGGATTTCTAGACGACAATGGTCACCAGTGCAAATAGAGGAGTCAGTCTTATATATGGAGACACAAACAGCAATACAAACTTAACAGGGGGCCTAACTCAGTGATTCTCAACCTTTTTCCAGTCACAGCACCTTTTATAAGTATGCAAAATCTCAAGGCACCTAGTCTAGTCAAAAATAAAAAACAGGTACATTTTTTTTTTTAAATGATACGTGCCCACCCCTTCAAAATCAATACCAAACCCTTATCATAGAAAGTTGAGTTTCCGCTTCACATCAGAAGCCTCCCTCAAATAAGAGTAACCTCCTTTCACGTCAGAGTCCCCCTTTACATCAGGAGCCTCCTTCAAATCAGAGCCCCCCTTTCACCTCAGAGTCCCCCTTCACATCAAGAGCTTCCTTCATATCAGAGTCCTTTAGCAACAAATTTGAAGGCACCCCTGACAATGCCAGAAGGCACCCTGGTTGAGAAAGGCAGGTCTAACCATGCTCTAGGTTTTGCCTAGAGATACACCTTTAATCGTTTGACTAAGGTTCTCAGCATCTGGATCATAAATTCTGTATGTTTTTGTACCCCATTATCCACCTGTATCATCTCAGGCAGCTTTTGACAGGTCACCTTAACCCTGCCAATTGCTTCCTTGTCAGCTACCTGACATCACACACTATCTTCCAGCTCTTGGATGTGCGAGGTGGAGCAGTTGACGAGGCAGGGACACTGCCAGGTCATCTTTCACTCCAAGAGTAAGGCACAGGCAAAGTAAATGAACCTAATAATGGGTCAGATGAACATTTTTCATAAACAAGCCTACACAAATAGAGTAATTTAAGACTGAATATTCAGATTCTTACATAAACCCAGTCTTGGTTCTGTATAAGGGAGCTTTTTTTTTCAGATTCCATCCTGTACAGCATTTCTTGGCTTGAAGGCCAAATCTGGGCTGCTTTTAAATATACCCCCGCAGTGAGGTCCTCCCCACACTGCATGGGTTATATGCTTGCTTGGCTAGAAGGGACAGGAATAAGTACAAATACCTTATTCTTCACTCACGCTGATTTCCTCTTTGACCAGTCCCCTGAAGCCGCTTCATTCGCTGTCTGGATGGTCACAACTCTCTGAAATCATCACGTACGTACAATGCATTACCACCACTACTTCAATGTACGGGAGGATAGTAAGGGCCTACTCACAACCTGGAGCATTGGACAGTGGGGGGAACGAGGAATATGGTGTTTGTACTTATTCCTTTTCCCCCCTAGCCAAATGAGCATTTAACCCATGCAGTGTGGAGACCCAGTGCATGTGTACATTTAAAGCAGCCCAGAGTTGGGCTTTAAAGTATATAAAAGGATACATATATAAAGAATATATGTAAGCCCCCTTATCTCTAATTTCTTCATCACCTCCTCCATATAATTTCAGTCAGTACAAGTGATCAATAGTGCTCATATGACATATTTATATTGCCTTATGAGTACGTCAGACACAGCTTTTATGGCCTAATGCACTGAGGTTAAATGTATTTTTTAACCATTAAACTGCATCGAAAACAACTCCATTATTATTAGGATGATAATGCTTTGTGCAAATACATTTATTATGCCAGACCTTATCAGTCTGTAGTCTGAGATTGCTATTTAACTATAATCAGTTATGTGTGAGCAGCTGAACTATAGAAACATTCACTGAGAGGTTGTAAGCTAGGAAGAGAGAATCGGAACCACTTTTTGTCCTGCATGTACCTTTATGGAATTCGTACTATTGCCCTGAAAAATAAACATCTTTTGCTTTCCAGTCATGGGCAGCCATGTTGAAGTTGGGGCACTTGTTCTTGCCCCAACTTTGATTTTTGTCTGCCACTCGGGTTTTTTGGGGTGCCATACCATTCACATATCCCAGAATGTAATATAATTGGGGTCCATGTCCTGGACTTATGACTGACCCTCCATCATCTACAAATTATTCACTTTTATACCTCTCAGATCTTAAAAACCACTACAGCACCACTAAAAGTAGAATGTAGCATCCCACTTTATTTACTTGGGATATATTCTGCCAACCTTCCAATGCAGGACCAACATGAGTGATCGCCAAGATTCTTGAAGGATTACCCAATTGCCATAAGTTATTAAAAAATGTAACTTCTGTTTAATCAACAAGGTTTTTATTAGTTTTAGACCAGAGAGGGTGTGGGGGCTAAGAGCAGGTAAAGCTGAACTCCACAGAGAGAAAATCCTCCACATCCTATTCCAGAGACTCAAAAGGAAGTAAGAGCAAATTCCTTCTAATTGTCATGGAATAGGTGTTCCCAAGGCGAAGATAATCCTTATATTGGTGTTCTAATTTTGTTCCCATCACTTTCTATCCCAGGGCAATGTTCTGTAGGACAAATAGAGAGGGTGAATGGAGACACCAGAAGAGGATAAAAGCACAACTAAGCACTACATTGATTGTTGGGAGTGCAAGAAAGAATGTTATTTCCTTACAATATAAAATCAAATGTGTTTCAGGGGCTCTGGAATGTCCACCTCCATCCAAGTTTTAATGGTTGATGCTGAAACCCAACAATATACTTTGTGTCCTGGGTTCTATGTTGATTATGCTCCATTAACACTTTCAACCACAGCAAGTTATAGGTCAAACATCTCACATGTTTGACCTGGTCAAACATGTGAGAGGTTGTAGTTAGTTGGGGGTGTGCAGTGCTGGCATTTGTTGCTTTATACACTTTTATTCACTGATATACTGGATTTGCTGTGAATTTCAATAAAGTCTGCAGTATTGGAAATCTCTGGATAGTGCGGTCTGTTCGTATACTGCTACATTCCAAGGTGGAGACGCACCTATTGGACCAGCACCTGGGGAATCCTGATGGTGGCTAAGGAATTGGAGCGGTGAGATTTCCTTTGGCACTACAGCAAGTTCTAGGTTTCCCTCCACCAAGCCCCAAATCCTGTTGGATTATATTTGATGTGGAAAACAACTTTCATCTTGGACTCCCAACAACTAGTGTGGTGCTCCGTTGTTCTTTGTCCCCATTGAATTTAGTGTGATGTGCCCTTTTGTGACCCTTTCATGCATTACAGCTAGCTTACCAGAGAGATTTCATTCTCCACCATAGACTTATTACACGGGGATATCTAATCTTCATCTTTGGATTGAACACTCTACACTCTACCATCTACACTCTCAAAAAAAGCAAAGAAACCTGACAGAAATGTTAACTCTTTCAACTGAAAGCAGTGTTTTGGTTGCCATAGATATTGTACACTTTAATATAACTCCATATATAATGATTTATCAAGGGTACGTTTTCCCATTACATCTAATGTCTTAAAAAAGAAAATCAATATAAAGTATTTACAATAAAAAAGGACAAAAATTAGGATACCTTTTATTAAGTATAAGAATTACAATATTTTACACACCTTGAAAGAAAGAGGTAATAACTATATACAAACTGACCACTGTTCTAGGATTCCTTGCCAATCAGTGTAATTAATGAGCATAAAATGAATGATTGCAGTTCATTGTATAATTAGTTTGGGTACATGCAGAGCTACAGTGCCAGTGTGTCTTTGATGAGCCTCCGCATTGTAGTAGTGACAGATGTGCCCAAAGAGTCAGTGATCTGATAGGAAATTTTGTACAGATAAGGCTGGACATCTTTCAAAGTTGTATCAAACACATTGTCCACTTCTGATTGTGTTGGCATTTTTGGTAGATATTCATGTCTGTTCATCACTTCCACAATGTTAATGATCTTTTCTCCCAATTTCTCTCCCACTTTTTCCCTACAGATCTGCCTCTCCTGCTCAGTGGCCAGTGACACGATGTTGACTTTGATTGCCCAAACCTCCCATGGGATGCACTCATCTGAGAATGGCCAGCGGGACTTCTTCTTCTGGTAGAATTCAAGAGAAATCTGACCAATGCCGTCATTTCCAGAATTCCTGAGAGCATCCTAGAAAATAAAATGATTATAGGTCATGTATTAAAAAAGGAAAAAGGGCAAACACACTCATTAAAAAGGAGAACTATGAGATGAATGATTTCCACTCACCTCATAGTTCTAGCCGACCTGTGACAATGAGACTGTCACAGGTCGGCTCAGTAGATCGGGAGGTGAGCGAACACATACCAGGTTCGCTCACCTCTCGATCCTGTCACGGCTCTCTGCTGTGACAGGGGGAGGGCTGGATTCCCCTCTCCCCGCTCTGATCTGCCAGCGCTGCCTGGCGGAACGGATAGGGGAGGGTACACCTGGCTCTGCCTCTAGATAGGCAGAGCCAGCTGTCACTCACGCAGCTGGGCGGATCCCGACGTCTAAGTCGGGATCCGCTCCGGCGTCTCAGTATACCGCGTGCTGTAGCTCGCGGTATACTGAGCTTAGGGTAACGGGAGGACGCTAGTTTGTGTCCTCCCGTTACCATAAGGAGAACTATGGGGAAAAACACTGACCCCATAGTTCTCCTTTAACTTAGGCAATAAGGTACAAAAATTACCTAAGCTGTAAGAGTTGAGCTAAATGCTGTTAATTTAAAATCTATTAATATGTAATCTATCAAAATGTTCAGTTTACAAATAAATATTGTGTTGGTGTGAAATTGTTATTTTTTCAGAATGGACATTTAAAAGCTCAACTCTAGGCAGTCAAACATACAGATGAATACATATGATATCTGGAGAGCAGTTTTAACTGCTAAATGATTTTTATTTCTTTTATTCTTGAGATTTACACAGCCTTGCCACACAACCTGAAGACTTAACTTTTCTCTACTGCCAAACAGGTCTTGTCCCTGCCCCCAGCATGTGATTGGACAGTGAAAGAAAGCAGCAGACTGATGAGCTCATCCCTCTACCACCCTGCCCCTTGTTAGAACATGAGAACGGCTTTGTTCTCTCCTAGCCCGAGCTTGGCTGTACAGGGATTGTAAGAGGCCAATATCAATTCACATCCAGGCACTTACATTAGTTGCATTTAAAATACACTTAGAGAATTATGAGGTGAGTGATTATCACTCAGTCTCATAATCTGAGCTGACCTGTGACAATTAAACTGTCACAGGTCGGCTCAGTAAATCGGGAAGTGAGCGAACATATACAGTCGCTCGCTCACTTCTTGATCTATCCCTGCAGAGAGCTGTGACTGTCACTCACGGCTTCCTGCAGGGATCCCCCCTGTCCGATCCTCCAGCGCTGACTGGTGGAACGGACGGGGAGGGGGCGGGCACAGCTGGCTCTGCATAGGCAGAGCCAGTTGTCAATCCCGCACCTGGGTGGATCCAGACAGAATTGTCGGGATCCGTTCCGGCTGCGGCGTCTCTGTATACCGCGAGCTGTTGCTCGCGCTATACTGAGCTTTGGGTCACGGGAGAACGCTAGTTTGTATTCTCCCGTGACCCTTAGGAGAACGATGGGGAAAAGCCCTGACTCCATAGTTCTCCTTTAAAGAAGATCTCAAGACAAATGTTTACTTTTAGTTTTAAAGCAGAGAAGAGTTCAATACCCTGAGTGGTGTTATTTGTCAGCCATGTCCCACTGGGGAGATTTTCCTTCATTTCCAGTCCCGTATACACAACAGGAAACTTTCGACAGGAAAGTGAGGGAAAGCTTCACACAAAATACTACATAGTTACATAGTATTTGAGGTTGAATAAAGATACAGGTCCATGGAGTTCAACCTTTGTGAGCATGTGTGTATATGAATGTCTGTGTGTTCCAGTCTTTAGGAGTACCTTTACCCCTAAACGTTATATATTCTCTGGGGAAGGTATCCAAATGATTTTTGAATGATCCAATACTCTCAGCTGATACCCCTGCTTGTGGAAGAGAGTTCCACAATTTTACCGCTCTAACTGAAAATAATAGGTTCTGCTTCTCTGATGTAAGGCTATTCATTTGGGTGCTAAAAATTTGCAAGCAAAATACTCAGTATCAGAGAAAAGGGGAACAAAAAGGAGTTATACGCTGGGTGAAACAAAAATGTTTGACCAAACTCCAGGGTTTCAATAGACTATTCAGAAAAATGTTGTCCCCTGTAAACAGAAATCCCTCAAAAATGGAGATGGTCTAGTGAATAGATTACAATTTATAATGTAGTATAACAAAGTTTAATAATCATATACACATAAAGACACCTATACAAAACATCTAAAAACAATTAAAAAAAGCTTCCCTGGAATCACCTGGATATAATGATACGGATGTTAAATATATGAATCTCCTAAAAGGGCAAGAAGTCTCTGGTGCAGATATAATAGTAGTATATCAAAAAATAGAGTAACGGAGCTGTACTCACGTTGTGTGTAACCCGTGAAGGAGTAGTCCTGATTAGATCCCACAACGATACATGCATGTAGTTGTTTCCAAAAAAAAAATGTATCCGTTTATAACAATTTCATTTCAAAGGATCCGCTTCAATGGCGGAACGGAGGCTCTGTGAATGCTTTCCTCCCCGTCTGTTTTGACTCACACCACTGTGTGGGATTAGGTTCCAACTCAAGGAAAAAGCCTCACAGAAAGTTTCCACACGTGCGGCCGCACTGTAAGGTGGAAGGTGGTGGAGTTCCCACAGCGGTGTGTCCGGTGACATGGCAAGGAATGGAGGCTGTATAACTTTACACTGACAGAGGCTCGCTCACGTCTCCCGGTCTTGGCTGCAATAAACAAAATCAGCTGCCGCTGTGCTCAGGCAGTGTCCGCATCCGGTTTGCTTGGTCCTTTAGACTCAGAGGCTGTAGAGATTTTTTTCAGAAGAAGAAGCCCCGGCCATCGGGGGGAAACGCGTCAGGATAGCGTGTGTTCCAGCTTCCCAGGACACCCACTATTGACCTCTAAACGTTCGGGTGAGAACAAAACAAAAAATCTCTACAGCCTCGAGTCTAAAAAGGGCAGGAAGTCCCTTCAAACCCGATGCGGACACTGCCCGAGCACAGCGGCAGCTGATTTTGTTTATTGCAGCCAAGACCGGGAGACGTGAGCGAGCCTCTGTCAGTGTAAAGTTATACAGCCTCCATTCCTTGCCATGTCACCGGACACACCGCTGTGGGAACTCCACCACCTTCCACCTTACAGTGCGGCCGCACGTGTGGAAACTTTCTGTGAGGCTTTTTCCTTGAGTTGGAACCTAATCCCACACAGTGGTGTGAGTCAAAACAGACGGGGAGGAAAGCATTCACAGAGCCTCCGTTCCGCCATTGAAGCGGATCCTTTGAAATGAAATTGTTATAAACGGATACATTTTTTTTTTGAAACAACTACATGCATGTATCGTTGTGGGATCTAATCAGGACTACTCCTCCACGGGTTACACACAACGTGAGTACAGCTCCGTTACTCTATTTTTTGATATACTACTATTATATCTGCACCAGAGACTTCTTGCCCTTTAGGAGATTCATATATTTAACATCCGTATCATTATATCCAGGTGATTCCAGGGAAGCTTTTTTTAATTGTTTTTAGATGTTTTGTATAGGTGTCTTTATGTGTATATGATTATTAAACTTTGTTATACTACATTATAAATTGTAATCTATTCACTAGACCATCTCCATTTTTGAGGGATTTCTGTTTACAGGGGACAACATTTTTCTGAATACAAAATACTCAGTAGTAGGTGTTACACTGGGGGAATCAGAGATAGAAAAAGATTTGGGGTCTTTGTAGACCACAGACTTAGCAATAGCATGCAATGCCAGACTGGATGTGCATCCATATCTGTATGGATGTGCAAGTTCGGGTCGGCAATTGGCCATGTGTAGCCATGACTTGTCATAGAGATGTTCACAGGAGGCTGCACGCTGCTACACGCAGCAACTGTCCCTCCCGGACGCAGGTTTCTGCACGAACATGCATGCAACTGTACAGCTATAAACATACATAAATGAGGCCTTAGAAAGGGTATTTATTCAAGGGGCTAATCAGTACTTTTACCCCATTACAAAACACTGGTTTGGCCTCTTTTGAATATGCAGTACAGTTCTAGTAGAATGTCCTTGAATTAAAAAGAGTGCAGCGAAGGGCAACACATTTCATAAGGTGGCTGGAGGACCTCAGCTTTGAGGGAAAAATAAGAGTAATATGAGTAGATTACTTTTATTTAAATTAAAGTAGGGATGTTTAATGGAGACATGGTCACTATGTACAAATTCATCAATAGTGACTGTAGTGATGGTAACAAACATTTTAGAAGACATGCGGCCACAACTTGAGGTTGAAGGAAAGGAGGTTTAATCGGAATCTTTTTTTTATGATTAGAGCAGCAAAATTGTGGAACTCCCTTCCCCATGTAGTGGCATCGGCTGGGAGTGTTGGCAGCTTTGAAAAACTTCTAAATGTCTTACTCAATGGCCACAAAATACAGGGGTATGTATATTCTAAGACGACTCAAACTGACACAGTGGTGTCACAAGAAGGGTTCGAGGGGTGTAGCCTGCACCGGGTGACACCATCAGAGAGGGTGAAACCAAAATGACTGACAGTGTGGTTTGATCCCTTTTGAAAAGTCGGGCACTCGGTCATGGAGAGCTCGACAGCTTTACTAGAGAGGAGGGGACCTGGTGGCATACCTTATCCCGCCGGATGAACGCCCACCCCCCTCTCTCCGACGGCAGTTAAGAACGCGTGACGTCTTTACACACGTGCGTCATAACATTATGACGTCCCAGCGGGTGATACAAAGCCTGGGGATGCCTCTGAACTGCCACACACATAGGTTGGACTGGATGGACCTGTATCTCTATCCAACCTTAAAAGGAGAACTATGGGGTTAAGGCTTTTCCCCATAGTTCTCCTTAGGGTAACGGGAGGACACAAACTAGCGTCCTCCCGTCACCCTAAGCTCAGTATACTGCGAGCTACCGCTCGCTGTATACTGAGACGCCGCAGCTCAAGCGGATCCCGACAATTATGTCTGGATCCGCACAGCTGCGTGAGTGACAGCTGGCTCTGCCTATCTAGAGGCAGAGCCAGCTGTACCCGCCCCCTCCCCCATCCGTTCTGCCAGTCAGCTCTGACGGAGCAGAGCGGGGGGAATCCAGCCCCTCCCCTGTCACGGCAGAGAGCTGTGACAGGATCGAGAGGTGAGTGAACATTGGTATGTGTTCGCTCACATCCCAATCTACTGAGCCGACCTGCGACAGTCTCATTGTCACAGGTCGGCTAGAACTATGAGGTGAGTGAAAAGCACTCACCTCATAGTTCTCCTTTAACTACTATGTAACTTTACATATGGAACCATTGTGAAAAAAACATGCGGCCATTTAAATTAGCAAATAAGGCATAGCGAATGCAGCATATATTAGGATTTTGTGATGTGAAGTTTGCAGCCAGAAAGATTAAATTGTATCTAAACCTTTTACTTTTCTTGGATAAAGTTAGGAGTTAGAACCTCTGTCAGTTTGTATTACTGCCTGGGTCCCCACTAGGGAGATTCATCCTCTCTATGACAATGGTCGCCAAGACAGGAAGTCATGGAAACAGGAATAAAGGGGAAAGCCTCCAATGAGGACACCTGTTCCATTGACAACCAAGAGGGAATGTCCCTCAATTTGGAGAGATTTTCTCTCACAATTGAAAAGAGGTCTCCCCAATGACATACAGATACCACTGACAGAGATTTTTACCATTCCCTAGCAAAAATGGAAAAAAAAAAAAATGCAGTGGCCTCACCTTGAATTCACTAACTGCCTTCCTCAGAGCTCTGTCCAGCTCATCTGAAGAAACCCTGACGTAAGTGAACTCTATGAAATCACAGTCCATGTCCTGAGTTCCCACAGTGCCAATAGAGTAGGTTCCTTCCTTCTTGTAGTGGAACTTGCCCGTGCTACGGTGAAGAAGTATAGTATGTAGTACGGCCAGCATTGCCTCTTCTACCTGACGGCCCTCTACGGACACTTCCAACACCTCTGAACGGCAGTTCATTGTGATTTAATAGGATGCCTGTAGATACACAATTAAAATATGTAAGCAACACATTCAGCGCATATATAAAATAGACCAGTCAAAGGAATTCTTTGTGAAAGTAAAGAATTAGAAAACTAGCAAAGTATTATTCACTTTACACTTCTTCGCTATAACTGCAGGAAACGTATTACACACCAGTGGTAATCAGAAAGCTCACATCAATATTGTGCATTTTATATAATAAAATAAAATTTCCGATATAGAGTGGAAAGATAGGAGTGCTGATCAAGGGATCCATTCCAGGAATGAGGAAACACTTGACACTCCCATGTGACGCCACAATGCCTGACCTCACACAATGTCCCAACTACTCAAAGCTCATTGAGCGAGGTCAAGGAGTTGACAGGTCATTGTGTCGCCACAATGCCTGACCTCACACAATGTCCCAACTACTCAAAGCTCATTGAGCGAGGTCAAGGAGTTGACAGGTCATTGTGTCGCCACAATGCCTGACCTCACACAATGTCCCAACTACTCAAAGCTCATTGAGCGAGGTCAAGGAGTTGACAGGTCATTGTGTCGCCACAATGCCTGACCTCACACAATGTCCCAACTACTCAAAGCTCATTGAGCGAGGTCAAGGAGTTGACAGGTCATTGTGTCGCCACAATGCCTGACCTCACACAATGTCCCAACTACTCAAAGCTCATTGAGCGAGGTCAAGGAGTTGACAGGTCATTGTGTCGCCACAATGCCTGACCTCACACAATGTCCCAACTACTCAAAGCTCATTGAGCGAGGTCAAGGAGTTGACAGGTCATTGTGTCGCCACAATGCCTGACCTCACACAATGTCCCAACTACTCAAAGCTCATTGAGCGAGGTCAAGGAGTTGACAGGTCATTGTGTCGCCACAATGCCTGACCTCACACAATGTCCCAACTACTCAAAGCTCATTGAGCGAGGTCAAGGAGTTGACAGGTCATTGTGTCGCCACAATGCCTGACCTCACACAATGTCCCAACTACTCAAAGCTCATTGAGCGAGGTCAAGGAGTTGACAGGTCATTGTGTCGCCACAATGCCTGACCTCACACAATGTCCCAACTACTCAAAGCTCATTGAGCGAGGTCAAGGAGTTGACAGGTCATTGTGTCGCCACAATGCCTGACCTCACACAATGTCCCAACTACTCAAAGCTCATTGAGCGAGGTCAAGGAGTTGACAGGTCAACAGACTGTTAGATTTCGGCTGACCTCTAACACCAACAAGGAAGCAAATTAAATATGTCAATAGTAAGTCAATACAGCTATAACCACTGCAGAGTGAATATTCAGATTTAACAGAGCCCTCGCCTCCTGAGCAGCGCTGTTGATGAGAGCAGTGCTTGGGGAAGGATGTTGGACCAATAGAGAGCCGGGTTGGTGCTTTGTGTGTGAAAGCCACGGTCATACTCTATGCGCTGGCAGCACTGGGTATTTTTTACCCTTCCTGCAGCACTTGGCAATAAAAAAAGCCCCATATTTATTACTGTATATACAGCATGGCAGCATTACAGTATTAAATAATGAAGGTTCAATTGGTCTCTGGAAAACAATCCTTTCTTTCACCCCATCCTCTTCTCCCCATGTACAGTTAAAATAAAAAAATTAAAGCTGAACTCCAGGCACAAAAACTTTCATTAAATATATTACTCAATATACAAATTATATAAATCCACTTTGTGTGCAACGAATACCTCTGCGAACCCTGATATTACCTACATTTGCAAACCCAGTTATTACTCAGTTACAAAGTAAATAAAAATTGAAAAAATGAAAACCAGCCCCACTGCCCCATCTGCATGCGAATAAACGCACAGTGTTTTCATCTGTGATCGCGTGCAACCGCACGAGCAGGGTGGTATTGCAGCAGGAAAACGTGCAATCTGCCTGGCACGACTGGGGTGCCATTAGAAAATAATGGCACTGCCAGCGCGATCGGCAGTGGTGTGCGAAACTGAGCGGATGGCTGGGTTGTCACGGATACGCACACCACCGCCGATCGTACCGTCAGTGCCATTATTTTCTAATGGCACCCCAGTCGTGCCAGGCAGATTGCGCGTTTACCTGCTGCAATACCGCCCGGGCAATCCCACACGATCACGGTTGAAAACACTGCGCGGTGCATGCCGTGAAAATAGGTACATCTACCTTTTTTTTTTACAGCGATTGCCACGCAGATGTAAACCCCATACGCAACCGCACACGATCGCACGTCCTGGGAATCCCCAAGTCTGCACCAACCCTAAAGGGTATATTCACTTTCCCAAGTAATTTGGGAAAATGGAATTACCCGCACAAATCTCCCTCCCACTATACTTACCTTTCGTCGACCGGTCCTTCCCGTCCAGCAGTACGGGTGTACTATCTGTACCTGTTCCATGTATTCTGAATTTCGCTCGCAAATTGCAAGCATTCGTTGGTCAACACGGTCACTGACCAATGAGAAACGCTTCTTAGCACTGCTAAATACGGTTTTGGTTAAAATTATTTTTTTTGTATCAGAACAAGTAGATTGTCATGAGGGACAAGTAGATTCGGCCCCCGCTTTAGTCCTTGGACAAGTAGTTTTTTCAAAAATGTCCACACCCTGTAAGAGTAGTAATGGCATAACTGTGCTGTTCATATCCTGTGCACAGAACAGAGCTGTGGCAGGGGCCGATTAGGTCCACCAACTACAGGTTGCCTACAGAAAACTACAAAAGGGGGTGGAAACAAGACCAGTTACCCTGTACAAGGAGAGAGAGCAGCAGTGGCTGGTCATTATTACAGGAAACCCCCGAACAGAGGCAAAGTTTCACACTGGATTTCTGTACAGTTCTGAAATAAATACACAAAGCATACCAAGATTCAAGTAAGAATACTCGTACCTCTTGTATTTAGACAATATTTGATTATGCTGGTGCTTAGCTTTAATGCATGTACTTTAAGAATACTTATTTCTACTGAAATCATCGCATTTCTTGGTAAAGTCCGACAATCTCTGCTAGCCAGGAAGAGGAATCTGTACAGCACCCTACATCTCATGCCGTGGATCTAGGATTGGGGGTGGAATCTGATATGGGCTAAAGGGAAGGCAGGGGTGTCTTCTCTCACATAAAGCTCAGAAACAAAATGATTGATGGCAGAGGATAGCTGTGGGGGGGGGGGCAACGACAGTATGGGCCCAGGGGGAGAAGGTAAGGTGAGTTCAAGGTAACTGCTGCAGCTTCAGAGAGTTACAGTATATTGTGGAGATGCATGCTTGCAGAGAATTGTAAATATTCATTTTCAGCAAAGGAGAGGACTTGATACAAGTGTGGGAAAAGGGGAAGCTGGAGTTCAGCTTTAAATCATCCCCCAATCATGCTGGTCCTGGCTGTATCTGATGGTTAGCAACTTCTACACCGGGGGTGGGCTACTCTGGCCCTCCAACTGTGCTTTAACTACAAATCCAACATGCCTCTGGGTGGCATGCCTGCTACTGTCAGTCTTGCAATGCCTCATAGGACTTGTAGTTCCACAACAGCAGGAGGGCTGGAGTTGCCCACCTCTGTCCTAGACTGATCTATAGTTTTGGGAGGCCTGTCTTTACTTATTTCCCGTGATTTGGAGATAGGTGCACGATCAAATAAAGAATAGCTGTTGTGGATATGTCATTCCCTGCGTGTGAAGTACAAAACCGGAACACACATGTATGTGAGCACACTCCAGGTACATCCAGCGGCCTACCCAGTGGCTCCAAACAACGCTGCCATGGCACTTACCGCTTAGAGGGGACAGAAGGACTACTGCTGTCGGTCAGTGCACTCATATAGAGGGACAGCAGAGGGAAGGCCCGGGGTCAGATCGACCGATCACCTCCAACGCAGCCGCAGCTCTTACCCCCAACTACCTGCTGCTGACAGAACCAAAACAATGAACGTCACTGGACTGTACCACCCTCACCGGAACACAGTCTGTACACAGCTCCTATCACCGTTTACTGGAAGATTGAATTTTATTTGTCTGCACTTCGAATAAAGACGCTGTAACGTGTTTTACCTTTTCATGATCTATCGCACAGACAGCTTTCGTCGTCCAAGATGGAATTTTCGTCTCCCTGTCTTGGGTAATGGTGTATCCCGCCCTGTCAGGTGGGTGCTTGAGCGCCCCCTGCCGGCCACCGCAGTGAAGACAGGAGAGAAGAGATGAGGCTCTATGTTGGAGCATGTGAAGAAATACATGTCTATACATCTATGCATCCAACTCTGGATGACCAACTTCATTACTTTATTTCAAGTGTATGCAAAGGTACATTTTTTTTTTTTTACTTTTAGTTGGAGCATGGAAAGGTTAGACTCTGCTAAGTTTTTATTGTGGATTGTGCTTGGGAGATTCAGGGCTTGTTCACACAATGGGGGGGAATTCATAAAAACTGGAACAGAAAGAATCCAGAATAGTTGCCTATCGGAACCAATCAGCTTTCCTCTTTAGTTCGATTAAGCTTTGAAAATGATACAGAGAAGCTGATTGGTTGCCAAGGGCAACTGCTCCAGATGTTGTGTTCTCCAGTTTTTATAAGTTCCCCCCAATGTGCGGTGAACGGCCTTTATCAGCACCTGATCAATGGCAGTCACCGCAAGGATGCATAGAATTCAAAGTGAGGAAAAGCCCTGGGGGTCAACAGGGTCATCAGAACGAATGACCCCATTAGAAGATTCCTTATCTATTCCTGTTCTAAAAAAAAAAGTTTGGGCTTCAGTTGCACTTTAATTCAGTTCCAAGAGGGGGGCAAAGTGCTGTGTGAGCACAGGATCTGGATGTTCTCCTTCAGCGCCTGTGTACACATAATTATCTAAAAATAGTAATGACAAGTATTTGATGAATCGTTTACCTATTATTAGCTTTCAAAAAAGACACAATGCAGCGTGACAACTTTTCAGCTCTTCTCTTAACTTGTTTTATGGTCCAAACACTCATACTGAGGCGTTCATACAAACTCACTAAAACCGATATGTCTATATGGGATTTTTTATTAAAACGCTTTATTTAAAAAGTCCTGTGTCTTGTACACTGTATAAATGACAAAATATTCCTCATATAATTAATTAGAGGAACCCTGCTGTTGTGCGGGAGAGCCTTAGATATTAAAGTGTATCTAAACCTAAAAACAAAAACTCACTATTTTTGCTGCTTACCAGTCCTCAGATGTGGTGGCTGCATTTGTTTTCACCTGCCAGTTCTGGAAATCAGACACTCGCTGAAATTCAATGTCATAGACACTCATATAAATTCTGGCATCTGTGTGCGACAAATGTCACATCTAGCCACAAATTCATGTATGTTTTGTAAACAAGTACGTGAGGCTTTCTCTAGTATCGGCTCTGAGGCTGGAGTATCCCTAGTGGACACTCCATTCTCAGTGCAGCTGAGCCTGAAAGAATCGTAGGATCAGTGTTACTGAGCTTTCTGCCCAGTCACTTCACCTTGCAACTTTCTGCCCAGTCACTTCACCTTGCCACTCTCTGCCCAGTCACTTCACCTTGCAGCTTTGTGCCCAGTCACTTCACCTTGCAGCTTTCTGCCCAGTCACTTCACCTCGCAGCTCTCTGCCCAGTCACTTCATCTTGCAATTTTCTGCCAAGTCACTTCACCTCGCAGCTTTCTGCCCAGTCACTTCACCTCGCAGCTTTCTGCCCAGTCACTTCACCTCGCAGCTTTCTGCCTAGTCACTTCACCTCGCAGCTTTCTGCCCAGTCACTTCACCTCACAGCTTTCTGCCCAGTCACTTCACCTCGCAGCTTTCTGCCCAGTCACTTCACCTCGCAGCTTTCTGCCCAGTCACTTCACCCCGCAGCTTTCTACCCAGTCACTTCACCTCGCAGCTTTCTGCCCAGTCACTTCACCTCGCAGCTTTCTGCCTAGTCACTTCACCTCGCAACTATCTGCCCAGTCACTTCACCTCGCAACTCTCTGCCCAGTAACTTCACCTCGCAACTCTCTGCCCAGTAACTTCACCTTGCAACTCTCTGCCCAGTCACTTCACCTTGCAACTCTCTGCCAAGTCACTTCACCTCGCAGCTTTCTGCCCAGTCACTTCACCTTGCAGCTGTCTACTCTGAGGGACATGGAATCTGCCCATTGCGGTCTGCTGTTAGTCACCAGGGAGGCAGACCTGACAGGCAACTCTGAGAGACTAGTTCCTCATCAGGCCCGCCTCCCTTGTCACTGTCAATCACAAGGGAGGCAGACCTGATGTGAAACTAATGGTAAATGCTTTCATCAATTCATAACCAGGTCTAAAGCAAGGTGCACATGGAAGAGGTTTACACAGTACGAAAGCAAAACAGTCCCAGTACACTTTTCCAACAAACACATTAAAAATCACATTAAGCTGTCTAACTATTCGGGTTAAGGGTTGCTTCTGGGTACATTCCAATGGATGTTTGCTGATCTCCTCTCGCTTTACCCGCCGACAACCTTAAGGCCCATCCTCGGACCAGAAAAGAGGCAGCAGAGGCTAGTATACATGGAGGGCACCCAGTTGGGCTAGTTGGGCTGGGGGAGGGCACCTTCCAGCAAGCGGAACCTGAATCTCTTCCAGCAGAATGCCGACAATTGGTTGAAGAAGGCAGTGGCAGCCACGGGTTAAAGTAAACCTATTTTTAAAGTTGTTACTGAAACAATGTCTGTGTGTGTGTCTAGATATATCTATGCATATATATATATACAGTGGCGTAACAATCGCCATAGAGACCCAGGCAGCCAATATGGGGCCCGGGCACAGGAGAGCCCAGCCAGGGCATCCCTCCGATGCCGTGTGGGCCGCCTGGGTCGGTATGGCATGTAAGGGTGCTGGCTGTCACTGACACAGCTCAGCAGCGGCGTTCCCCCTCACAGCCGCGGCGGAGCTGTGTCAGTGACAGCCAGCAGCTACGGCAGAAGAGGCCAGCGTTCGCAGTGAAGGAGGAGGCGGGGCCTGCCTAAGAGCAACCCCGCCTCCTCTTACATCACTGGCCAGCGACCCAAGAGGAGGCGGGGCCCAGGGACGGAATAGGAGGCGGGCCCGAGGATTATACTTTTGGCAATATAGTGTACACTAGGGATGCACCAATACCGTTTTTTTGGTATTGAGTATAAGTACAGATATTTATCTTTCGGTACTTGCCGAAACTGGTACTTCCGGTAGCATGGAGCCAGCTTCCTGGGCAATCAGGAAGTCAGGCATCAAGTCATTACCAGCTGCCAGGCTTCCTGATTGGCCGGGATGCCGGCTCCATGCTGTTTTGGTGGCTCGATGCTGATTGGCCCGGGAAGCCGGCTTCCCAGCCAGTCAGCATGGAGCCAACTTCCCAGCCAATCAGGAAGGCGGGTCAATACCCGCAGCCCTGTTTCCTGATTGGCCGGGAAGCCGGCTCCATGTTCTCTCGCGGCACTACCGGTCAGAGGAAGTTCCGGTGCCAAAATACGTATCGGTGCATTTGGGCGCGAGTACTCGTATCGGTGCATCCCTAATAAATATATATATATTTATTAGTGATTAATAGGGTGGACACCCTCAATAATAATTTGTGCTGCAGAATGAATGCTTCCTAGTAGCTCTAGCTAGGCTTTGGATTGCCCAGTGCAGTCTTGTTTTTATGACACTGATTCTTGGTATTAAAGAACTGGAAGCGTGCCTATGTCAGTGGCGCTCCTGCTTGGCTGGGTACAGTCTTTATAAAGCTCTTTACTATTTCCAGCTGACTTTTGCATGAAGGTTTGATTGGCCCTGAATCACTAAGCACAGGCAACTGTTGTATAGAGTAGGTATACATGCAGGTTTAAACTTCAAAAATAAAGTAACCACAGAGAGCTTCAGTACTGATTCAGACTGAGATTAAAATGGAAATAAAAAATGTTTTAAAAAAGCACAGCCGATTGGGAAAACAGAATAAAATATATGATAGTTTATATCTACTGTGTTGGAATATGAGGGGCAAGAAGGCAAGTAGCAGTCTTTGTAAGTTTTAAGTGACATCTGAGTAGAACACCTAGAAAAATATATAGGAATTTGAGCATAAGTAACATAACTAGAAGGTGTAACATTTAATTACTTACCTTCCTGTAACAATTCAAAGATGTTCTAGCGCATTGTGTTAACGTGCAGTAAAAAGCATTATTGTATTAATAAACATAAAAAATAAACTATATAATATAGCCTGTAAGTTAAATTGTTTATAACTTAATAAGGCTGGAAAAATGTTAAATTATGTAATATTGGAGTATAGAAGACACAGAACCTCAGTTTTCATACCCTTCTGCCACAGTGCCAAGAAGGGAGAATTGATTTTGTCTTTGCATGATTAAGGCCTCGTTCAGACAGGCAGCCAGGGGGCAATAAAACCAGACAGTTGATCCACAGTTTCACTGCTCCCCCAACCACCAACTTAAAAGCTAAAATAGTGAATGCTCCGGGTTGTATACATCAAGTATGTATACAAATTTTAAACAGCATGTCGCGTTTGGCAGGTGGTGCCACTTGCCAAACAGGAACATTGCAATTAATGTGACCAATCAATGGTATTGCAAAAAAAAAAAACAGAAAAAAATTGCATTCTGGAGGCAGCAGTGTCGTCTTCTGATTGTTGGGTTGCTGATCCCCCGTGGATTGTTTTTCAGACTGATGGTGGAGCCTGCCACCTGTCTAAACACAGACTTACACTCTAAAGCTCACCACACAGGTAAAATTACATTTAGATCTGTTGGCAACTATGAAGTGCAAAGGCCTGTCTGAAGAAATAGAAACTGAATGGATAGTTTAGGTTGTGAAAAGCTGGGGTACCCTTGAGCACTCTGAGGAGAGGAACAGAGTGGTGTGAATTGTGGGAGTGGCCAAATTGCTCTAATACCGTATACACAAGACACACATGTCATAGTCCTTTTACTCACAAAATATG